GATAAGCTGCAGTGTATTGGAAAGAGGCCAATTTTACAAAACTCAGATAAACTTATTTATTTGCTTCATGGGAAAGATTGACCAACAAGTCATATTCCAAACCTTGTTCCGGTTCAAGTACTGGTATAGAGACGATAACACTCAGAGCCAAAACCAAGGATGCTCTGGAGAAAGGCGGGGTGGGAAAGTTTCAACAAAATAAAGATGTCTCTAATGGAGACAAAAAGAAGAAAAGGAAAGAACTATTTAACTCCACTGTTCTGCCAGCAATGATATACAGGGTGGAAAGCTGGTCAATGACGAAAGCGAAGGAAGAAAAATTCGCTGTCATCAGGAGAGCAATGGAAAGGCGAATGTGTAAGATATTGCTCCATGATCACATACCAAATGAGGAGATCAGAAGGCATACAGAGGTGACTGATGTAATGCAGGTGATTTACGACGCAAAGCGGAGACGGGCGGGTTATGTAGTTTGCAAGCAAGACAATAGGTGGACAACCGCATCCGTGACTAGATCCCCAGAGACCACAAGCGACCACAGGGCAGACAGAAAATGTGCTGGGCCAATCCCATGACAAAATTCTACGACCAGAAATGAAAGAACGTGCTTGCAATAAAATGGAATGGTGTGGTGTCAACTTGCATTCGTGGAGGGATGGACGAGGACAAGCTGGACAAAAGTTTTCTTGTATTACCTCAATAAGACAAAACTCTTTTGCCAATCCTGTGACACAGGCATTACCAGACAAGATGACATTGCCAGGCAGGCATACTACATCTGTATCTGATTAGTTTCTTGATACTTCATTGAAGGGTGGGGGTGGTCATGTGTGGTCTCTGCTTAAGAACAAACTTAAGACAAAAGCTGAAGTGAATGAAACAGCTGATCATGACATGAGACAAAAGTCTGGAGCTGTATAATAGAAGGAAAAATAGCACAAAATATTCTCCATTATGGAGGAGATCTGCCAACATCAGTGTCATGAAAAGTGGATCCCAGCTCTCTGTATTGGACAAGCACTACATGAACTGACGGTTGGGTGAGAAAAACCTTATTATACAGGAAGATAACTTGTTAATAAGTACAGACTATAAATTGTTATGCTTTTACCTGCAATTTTATGTTTACAAATCCTTAAACTTCTTTTTATTTGAAACTTTAGCTCAAGCTATGTTAAAATTCAGTTCTTCTTATAAATATGTCTAAGTACCTTGTGCTAAGGAAAGTGTTGAACTGAGGTGTACTGCATCCATGTAGTCCGTGGATCAGAATACATTGCGGGTGTCCAGAAGACAAGGGACTGGGCACTCGAGTATAACAAAGTGAGGAGTGTAAATTGCTAGCCTGCCCTGGGGAAGAGTGGGGCTTATGACACCCCGGAGTGGAGTGCTTGTGTTGCTTGCAGTAGGTAGTTCAGGGAGAGTTTTACCCTGGTGGACACAGTCAAGACTCGCTTACTCTGTAAGTAGGTAGTAATGATTCATCCTGGATGTGTCTCATTCATCAATACTGTTGGTATCTTTTGGGGATAAATTTAGGGAAAAAGCTTTCAACAGAGAATCTTAAAAATGGGTGTCAGATGGCATTCTACAAGAGTTCAAGGCAGCCTCCTCTGCCTTTGAGATACATACCTATAGTTATTTTAGATATCTGTAGAGCTGCTACTTGGAATTCGATAGATATGTTACATTATTCTCTTGGTAGCTTCTAAATCTAATGCATAATTTGGCAGTGGAGTCTTATAGTCATTTAGACTTCTCCCCACTATGGAAGACAAAGAACTTCTTGCCTGTTGCCTAAAGTGGGATCCGTGTGCATAAGTATTCAAAGAAAAAATGGTGATTTAGTATAAAGTAACTGGTTAGAGAGGTTTTGTCCACATGGATCCCACAGCCTGCCCACCATACACTAATGTGGAGTCCTTTACCATTGTGAAGGAACTGGGAGGCAATTGGGCCACCGCAGACTTTGTCCTCTCCAGCGGTTGCTGCTGGCTAAAAAGAATCTGATATCACATGCATGAGGCGCACACACATCTAGTGTGGGATCTGTGTGGACAAAACTTCTCAAACTACAGTTAAGACAAGAAACCATTTTTTTTCTGTAATGCATATATACACATATACAAAGATTAATCACCTGATGACCTTGAGTACTCTGTGTGTGTACACATACAATACTCAAGGTCATCAGGGGATGAATCTGTAATTCAGGAAGCGGAACTCAATGAAGCTGAAAATTACTTTTTTCTAATATGAGCTACAATTAAATGGAGTTTTTTAGCTTAGTAAAAGTTAGTGCTGTCTTTTTTAAATTGGAGTACTTTTGTATATCATCCCCGTGTGTAGTACCTGATAGGATACATATTTTAAATACTTGCTGTAAAATGTGAATTCCTAAAGTTTGATTATAATAACTGTTAGTTTGTTGCAACATATTAATAGCTGGGATCATGGCAATCAGCAGGGTTGTCTTCCATAATTGTGAAAACACAAAACAGGTACAGACTTCAAGCTTCCATTTGTTATTCTACTTGCTCTTAATAGTACATCTTAATGACAATACTTTTTTAAGCTACATAGAGGCTAAGGGACATATCACATAATAGTCTGTTTGTTTATAATAAGAAATATAGAAGTAATTGGCTCTAATCTAATATGTATGACTCAAGCTTTCATGTAGGTATACATGGTACAAAATATTTGGACTAAAGGTTTGGTTTAGTAAGGCTTAAGAAAGTTCAGATACTTTTTAAAACAGCGTTCTTGTAGTAACAAAAACTAAGGGAAGGTGCCTAGCTGATTTTGGCTAGGCTAATATAATCTGTTGCTTACCAAACAGCAAAAGTCTGAATTAGGCAGTATTACTTTCAGTTGCTTGTATTTTTGATCCTCCTTGACTGTGTGTCCAGTCTTGAAGGCTCAGTCAAACCTGTGACTAAGACAAGCTTCTGACTTATGGGATTGTGCAAGCTGATTCTGCACTTCTAGATCTACTCCTCTGTGCTGTCCAATCTGAAGTGTTGGAAATGCCAAGTGTAGGGATGACTACAAAACTGATAAGTGTTCTTTGCCATGCAAAGTTGTGGGGATAGCAGATAGAAAAATAAGGGTAAAGTAAAGTAAACAGTGTGGTAGCGTGGGAAATTCTGGTATTATTACTTGATAAGGAAGTAAGATGTTGTGACATGCTCAGAGAGCTGAGGAAGGAGAAGAAATGGAATAAACTCTTGAAGCAATTCTTAACAATACCAAGCTATTGACTTTCTTATGTTTTAGTGAACTCTATCTTTTATGCAGTAAGTACAGAGAAGAAATTTACTAAGTCCCTTGAATAGACAATAGTGCAGTATTTTTAGAATGGCAACATTAATACTGTGAAGTATCCTAACAGGCTTAAATTGTAACTTGTGTTTGATTTTTTTTTTAATGTTGTTTTAAGTATTAAATAAAAACGGCATCTTATTAGGAAGAGTTCTAGAACATCAAAATCATGCCTGTTATGAATTGTAATTTCTTTCATAAGAAGCAAATAAGAGTCTATTAAAAAAAAAACAGCTTTTTCAATAAGTTTTTGCAATTGTTAGTTTAATATTAACCCTTTTAGTCCTCTTTTTATTTTTGTACATTAAATTCATTCATATATTAATTGTTCTTCCAAAGTTTTTGTTATTAGCAAAGGGTATGTTTGAACTCTAAGACCAAAATGTTGATTTTTAACGTGAGTGACCCATATTCAAGAATTTCATGTGACTGAATATTGGGCTTTACTTTATTATGGCTGGTCTCAAGTCTATGGGAAAATAGATGTCTAGGGAAGACCCCTTATACAGCAAAAGTATGGTATAAACAAAACTGGATGATTGATAAGGGGTACCTACTATTTATTTATGTTCTTTGATAAGAGGTACTTGTTGCAGATGTTTTCTGTAATGGGTAAAATAAGAATCCATTGAAAGATGTTTGCTAACTCAGTAAGAACTGCTGGCTGTCACAGCTGTCAGTAATAGTAACTGGATTAGAATTCCTCTTAGTTTATCAATCATGTAACCCTAAAGATGCCAAAAAAGAAATTCATAAGTAATTAGGTAAAACAAAAATGCCAAGAGGACACATGGTGAAATTAATCACGGAAAAGCAACTTTTTCTTCAACAAGGAACAGGGATTATAAAAAACAGGGAACTTGACAAATTAGGTTGGGGATTATAAAACTGCCAGCATCCAACCAGATACAGAGGAGGAGGGGAGAGGGAAGCTCTTCACCTTACACCAAGGGTGGTAATGTATCTGTATTCTGTATAGTGCTGTACTAATCTGGCTGATATTTGATTAAATTCCATTTAAGCCTATTTGACAATCCCGAAGAGTTATTAAATTCAAACATACACAAAAAATATTGGTTTTACAATAGTGCTGTGGGTAGAGGTCAGGAATGTTGTGTTCTTGCTCCATCTTTTATTCCTTGGACAAATAACTTAACATGTATTTGCATCAATTTTGGGAGCACAATTTTGGGGTACTATGCGCAATTCTTACCCAGCTCTATAAAGTACTTTGAGATCTCTGAACAATAAGAACTCGGTGAGCTAACCGCTATTATTTACTACTATTGTACTTTTAGGATTAAGGCCATGTATGTACTACCACTTTTGCTGGGAAAACTTAAGTCACTTAGGGGTGTGAAAAAACCATGTCCCTGATCGACATAAGTTTTGCTGGCATAAGTGCTTATGTCCCTTATTCCCTTTGTCCCAGGTAATGAAAACAAAAAAGATACCTATCGATGCAAACTTTAAAGTACACGTATTGGAGCAGCTGATTTTTTTTTTTAAAATGTCTAAAGATGAGTAGAATAGGTCTCATTATAAAAACGTTAAAAGCTAGCTGTTGGTCAAACATGTCAGACACTTAACTTTTTAACAAAGTATGTGTGAAAACTATTGTGGTTGAATATAATATGAATGACTGGTGATACACGTTCACTGTTTTTTGTTTGCAGTTGGATAGATTTGCCAGCATAAGGATTCCAGGCAGTAGAAAAGAAAGACCTCCTTTATTGCAGCTGAAACAATCACATTCCTCTCTTGATTGGTCATCACCTCCTGCAGATGTGGATGAGTTCATCCCCAAACCCTTGTCAGAGCGAGAAATCCTAGCACTTTTTGAAAAAATGATGGTAAGAATCCCATATCACTGTTTAATACTTAGTGGTGAATTTTAGATGTCTTTCATTTAGAGAATTACACCATGACTAATGTCTGTTCACTTGAAGGTCATTGTCAATGTATGAATGAAAGTGTCTCTCTTTTTTTTTGTCCCTAATTGAATGAAGAATATGTATCAAGATGTAAAGGCAAACCGGGAATCATCATCAAGTGGTGGTGTTTCTTGTGGGATCTTAGCCCTGTGCTCTTTTTTTTTTTATCAGTGACCTGGAAGAAGACACACAATCATAACTTACCAATTTGCAGATGAGACAAACAGTAAATAATGAAAACTACAGTTCACTTTTATAGTGCAATCTGGATAGCTTGTAAACCAGGTACAAGCAAACAGTACCCTCATCTGGCTTTCAGTACTTCTAAATGCATCCTATCCCAGGATCCTTGGTGGTAGCTGCTGTTTGAGTAATCTAGACAGTAAGGGCCACCAAAATGGACACCACAAGCTGAAAGGACTATCTGTTGTAGGGGTGACCATTTATCCAGTTTGTCCAGATCATTTTGAATTTTAATCATATCCTCCAAAGCACTTGCAACCCCTTTTAGGTTGGTATTGTTGGCAAACTTTATAAATGTACTCTTTATGCCATTATCTAAATCATTAATGAAGATATTAAACAATACTGGACCCAGGACCAATCCCGGTGGGACTCCACTCAACATGTCCTTCCAGCTTGATTGTGAACCATTTGGAATAGTTTTCCAACCAGGTATGCACCCGCCTTATAGTAGCTCCATCTAGGCTCTATTTCCCTAATTTGTTTATGAGAAGGTCACGTGAGACAGTATCTGAAGTGGAGATATATCACATCTACCGCTTCCCCCCCATCTCCACAATGCTTATTATCCCATCAAAGAAAGCTATTTGATTGGTTTGACATGATTTGTTGAAAAATCCATGATGGTTACTTATCGCCTTATTGTTCTAGGCGTTGGCAAATTGATTGCTTGATTATTTGCTCCATTATCTTTCCGGGTACTGAAGTTAAGATGACTGATCTATAATTCCCCAGGTTGTCCTTATTCCCTTTTTTGGCACTATATTTTCCCTTTTTCATTTTTCGTGAGTTTTCAAAGATAATCATTAATGGCTCAGATATCTCCTCAGTCAGCTCCTTTAGTATGCTAGGATGTATTTTATGAGGACCTGGTGACTTGAAGACATATAATTGTCTAAAGCAACAAAGAGTCCTGTGGCACCTTATAGACTAACAAATGTATTGGAGCATAAGCTTTCGTGGGTGAATACCCACTTCGTTAGACACATGCATCTGACAAAGTGGGTATTCACCCACAAAAGCTTATGCTCCAATACATTTGTTAGTCTATAAGGTGTCACAGGACTCTTTGTTGCTTTTTACAGATCCAGACTAACACGGCTACCCCTCTGATAACTAAGTAATTTTTAACTTGATGTTGACGTATTTTAGCATCAGATCCTACCTCGTTTTCCCTGGTGGTCACGATGTTAGATGTCCGATTGCTACTAACCCTTTTGGTGAAAACTGAATCAAAGTCATTCAACACTTTAGCAATTTCCACATTTTATGTTGTTGTCTTTTCCCCCTCATTGGCTAAGGGGCCTACCCTGTTCTTCGTCTTCCTCTTGCTTTTAATGTATTTGTAGAATGTTTTCTTGTTACTCTTCGTCTCTAACTAGTTTAATCTCATTTTATGTCTTGGCTTGTGGTGTTTGTTTATATTCATCCTTTGTAATTTGACCTAGTTTCCACTTTTTGTAGGACTCTTTTTAGTTTCAGATCATTGAAGATCTTCTGGTTAAGCCAGGGCGGTCTCTTGCCATACTTTCAATGTTTACTACGTGTTGGGATAGGTGGCTATTTTGCCCGTATTAATGTCCCTTGAGCTGTTTTCCCCCTCAGACTAGGTTCCTATGGGATCTTGCCTATCAACTGCCTGAGTTAGCTAAAGTCTGCCTTCTTTAAAACCCATTATCTTTATTGTGCTGTTTTCCCTCCTACCATTCCTTAGAATCATGAACTCAATTATTTCATGATCACTTTCACCCAAGCTGCCTTCCACTTTCAAATTCTCAACCATTTCCTCCCTATTTGTCAAAATTAAATCTAGAACAGTTTCTCCGCTAGTTACGTTCTCCACCTTCTGAAATCAAATATTGTCTCAAAAGCATTGGATAATCTGTGCCCTGCTGTATTTTTTCCCATAGATATCTGGGTAGATGAAGTCACCCATCACCACTAAGTTGTGTGTTTTGGATGATTTTGTTAGGTTTTTTTTTTTTTTTTTTAATTTTTTTCCCCCTCTTTTTTCCCCCCCCCCTCCTGATTAGGTGGTCTGTAGTAAACCCGTACCATGACATCACCCTTGTTTTTACCCTTTTATCGTTACCCAAAGATTTTCAACGAGTCCGTCTCCTATTTTCATCTCAACCTCAGTCTAAGTGTATACATTTTTGGTATACAAGGGAATACCGTTTCCTTTTTCCCTGCTTGTCCTTCCTGAACAAACAGTATGCTTCTATACCAATATTCCAGTCGTGTGTTATCCCACCAAGTTTCTGTGATGCCAACTGTCATTTCTAGTTCTTCCTGTTTATTCCCCGTACTTCGTGCATTAGTATACAGACATCTAACATACTGATTTGATTTCCCCTCTATGTTCTCTCTCTCTCGCTTTTGCCTTGTCTCTGATATAATTGGCCATACTCCCCCCAGATTCCAACCCTTCTCCCAGGTCTCCATGTTTTTGACTTATGTGTGGGCTTTTGTTTCCTGCCCTTGTTGAGCCTAGTTTAAAGCCCTCCTCACTAGATTAGTTAGTCTGATCCAGAGATACTCTTCTTCCTCTACAGGAAGTTGGGGCGGGATTCGGCAAAGATGGTAGAGCTGGTGTGGCAGGGGGTGCGTGCGCAAAATTTTTTTACTGATGGGGGTGCGCGATCAAAAAAGTTTGGAGACGACTGCCTTAGAGGATGCATAATACAAGAACAGTAGGTTTTTCCTTTGCATGAGTAGCCCCATTTCACAGGCAGCATAGTCAAGGACAAAAAGTTGTCTGATTCTTTGAGAGGCAGCGTCACAAAGGGGATGGAATTTGGGATTGCCATATTGGAGTGTTCGGTTCTGTTCTGTGTGTTGAACCTCTCAGTGGGACCCAAGACTTTGCTTGATTAGATTCTGTACCAATTGCAACTTACTTAGTCAGCTTAGTTCTCAGGTGTCCTGGCTTTGAAAGTAGATAAGTATCAGGTCAGGATAAGATATCTTAGACAAGTATGACTGTTTCTTGTCTAAGATCTTTTTATGGATCAGCTCTATTTGGGATATCAAGATAGTGGCGTTTTGAGCATAATAAAAGGATAGAATTCTCCTTTTCTAAGAACAGCTGGATACAGTCTAAAGTATTCTCAGAAGAAAATCCTTTTTTTTGTTTGTTTTTGTTTAAATGGGCGAAAGTGGGCCTGCAAAGACTAGGGCAGTTCCATGAGAGCAAATAGGGAACATATGTTAAAAAGAATGTTCAGTATGTAGATTACAACAATTTTTGTTATATAAAATTAAAACCTATTTCAACCACTAAGAAATGGTGGGCTCAGTGAATTTTATAAGCAAGAAAGGTAAATGTAATTACATAAATGGGAACAAGCTCTATATAAGGCCCTTAGAGCACTTGATCCCTGTTTTGGCTTAGAGTAAATTTTCCCCTGTAATTCCGGGGACAGAATAGGCCCACTGCTCCTCCTGCATGATGTTAGAGGTGACTAAAAAGGGGCTACCTGGAGAGGGATGCGCTCCGCCAGGTTAGAAATTTGTCCAAGACACACCATATGATGAGCAAGGCAACGATGTCTATAGCGGATTAATCACAGCCCAGGTTAATAATGACCGCGCCATCCATCTCCCACCAGGGCAGACGCGACTAGTATACTATGGTGTAACCCCAAGAAAGAGGATCCGTGGAAGAAATAACCTCACCATAGCCACATGAAATGTAAGGACATTGAGACAAATAGGGAGGTTGAAAGAACTCACATATGAAATGGAACAATACACCCGGCACCTCCTAGGAATCTCTGAGGTCAGATGGAAGAACTTTGGAGAGGTACTAACGGAAGAAGGCCATGTACTCTATTACAGTGGAGAGGACAGACTTGTCAACAGCGTAGGATTTCTTGTGCATAAAGATATCAATAATTCAGTATTAGGATGCCACCCAATGTCCAGCAGGCTTATTTCCATCTGTCTAAAGGCAGTACCGTTTAATATCACAATGGCTACAACAGACTATGATGATGAGCAAATTGAAGATTTTTACAATCAGCTCCAAGACCTCATCGATAAGGTACACAAGAAAGATATCCTGATTGTACAAGGAGATTGGAATGCTGAAGTGGGTACTGACACACAGGCAGATTGGCGAGATTATTGTGGCCCTTTCTGTAATGCAGTAACCAGTGAGAGAGGATGGCGACTTCTGGAGTTTGCCAGCTATAACAATCTGGTTCTTGCAAACACATTAGGAGCACATAAAGCATCAAGATGATCTATATGGCACGCACCTAATGGTCTACATCACAGCCATATCGACTACACCATGGTGCAAAACCAATTTCATTCTGGGATTAACAGAGCTAAAACGAGGAGTTTCCCCGGTGTTAATATTGGAAGTGATTACGACTTTGTGATGCTAAAAATTTGACTGCGGCTAAGGAAAATCATCAGGCCAAAGTTCACCAGAACCAAGCTTGACTTGAAGACTCAGAGACCGAAATATTGCAGAGTCATTCCAGTGGTCGGCGGAAAATTTGTCCCGCTGCTTGCTCTAGAGGAAGACGTAGAAACAATGACCAACAGTT